TGCAAAGGCATTTGACTGAATGGATTACAGGCTAACATTGAGGAGAATGGAAATCCCAGAACACTTAATTATGTTTGAGTAAAATCTATACCTTGACCAAGAAGCCGTTGTTCAAACAAAGCAAGGTTTAAACTACTGCATAGTTTAAAATCAGGAAAGGTATGTGTCAGGTTTTTTCCAAACCTATTCAGCCTGTCCTGGAAGCAGGAGCGGCATCCACTTCTGAAATGGCTTGCCTCCGGAAACTCTATGAACAAACAGTGCTCAGGCTGTTCGTTCATAGGGTCGCTATGAGTCGTCTATGACTAGATGGCACTAAACAACAACAACATTCAGCCTGTATGCTGAGCAAATCATTATCTCTAATAATAATCAGCTGGATTCTATAAAGAAAAATGTGGCATCGGGGATGAAGGAAGACTCATCAACAACCTGCATTATGTGGAAGACCCAACTTTGCTTACTGGAAGTAAAGAGGACTTGAAACACTTGCTGTAGAAGATCAGAGGCTACAGCCTTCAATATGGATTGCATCTCCACTTCAAGAAGACAAAAATCCTTACCACTAGACCAATAAGCAGCACCATGATAGAGAAAATATTGGAATTGTCAACAAAAATCTTACATGGATCCACAATCAACAACTGTAGTAGTCAGGTGATGAGATGAGGAGGTGTATTGCATTGGGAAAGTCTGCTCTCAGGGATCTCTGCAAATCACAGAGGAGTAGTGACATCAGTTTGAAGACTCAGGTGCTCGTATTTTAGGCCATGGTCTTTTCAATTACTTGCTATACATCTGAGTGCTGAACAATGAATAAGGATGACAGAAGAATGGATGCCTTTGAATTGTGGTGTTGAAGAAGAGCAATGAATATCCCATGGAATGACAAAGAAACAGATACGCCTAGGGGAAAGTGTGGCCAGAGTGCTCCTTGGAGACAAAGATGGTAAAGCTTCATCTCACACACATTGGGAATCTTGCTATGAGAAACTGTTCTCTGGGGAAAAACGACCATGCTTGCAAAGTTGGAGGGTCAGAAGAAGGAAGGCAGATTCTCAATGAGTTGGATTGACACAGTGACTGCAGCAATGGGCTTAAGTGTGTCGATGGCATAGGATAGGACAGGGATCAGATTTTTTGTTCATGAGTTGTGTTTGACTCGACGGCATCTAACAACAACAACAACAACAACAAGAAGATGGGTGGAGGAATGATTAGCACAATATCATAAAAGAAAGGAAAGGTACAGAGGTATGGAGAGATTCATAGAATTCAGAATTACAGAGTGGAAGTTGGGGGGAAATGCCATTATGTTGTGGTCATTAAAAGTATTCTTTTAGAACAAATTATGTGTGAATGGTTGAATGAAAAATTAGTTTGCTTTGCAAACTAATACTTAATTCACAACTTTTTTTAAAAAAAAGAAAGCAAAGAGTTACTAAAAAGATAACAAGAGACTAAAATGGATGCCAGAAGAAATTGATAAATTTACTCTTGAAGGATAAAGTAGCTAAAATGTATCGATGAAATCATGAAGTAAAATAGCTGAAAAAATACAATAAAAGGAAATAAAAGGCATCTAGATCTGCAAAGAGATGATTTAACTGTCGCTCTGGTGGCCTAGTGGCAAGAAGCTGTGCTGCAATCCTGAAGGCATGCAGTTTGAGGCCAACAGCTGCTCCACGGGAGAAAGATGGGCAATCTCTCCTCTCATGGAATTGACTGCCTCTGAAACCTACCAGAGCGTCTGCTATGAGTTGGTTCCAACTTGATGGTAAACAACAACAGATGCAGATAATATGATAGTGTACACAGAAAACCCCAAGGAATCAACAACAAAAAAACTTGTTAGAGCTAGTAGATCAATTTAATAGAGTGGCCGGATACAAGATCAATACCCAAAAATCAGTGGGATTCCACTACAGTAACAAAGAGAACTCAGAGAAGGAATCCAAGAAAGCAATATCATTTCCAATGTTGTTGTTGTTGTTGTTGTTGTTGACTGTCTTCGAGTCATAGGGACCCTATAAACAAAAGGCTTGAAGGCCCTCTAATTTATCAAAGTTCATAGTTTCCGGAGGCATGTTGTTTAGGAAATGGATGCCACTCGTTTCCAAAACCACAAGTTGAGATACTTGGGAAGTAAGTGAACCTAACTAGAGACACAAAGAACCTATGAAAAAATATGAAAATACGAAAAAGAAACTATGGAACATTTCTGCAAGTACAATAAAAGACCTACATAAATGGGAAAATGTGCCCTATTCATGGATAGGAAGACTCAGTTTTGTGAAAATGACAATCCTACCAAAAGCAATCTACATGTTCAATGCAATCTCAATACAGATACCAAATTCTATTTTCAAGAATATCAAAAGGGAAATTGTCAAGTTTGTTTGCAGAGGAAAGAGACCCTAAATAAGCAAAGCATTTCTGAAAAACAAAAATGAAGTTGGAGGCATAACACTTCCTGACCTCAAAACCTATTACACCATGGTAGTAACCAAATCAGCATGGTACTGGTACAATGACAGGCACATAGACCAAAGGAACAGAATTGAGAACCCAGAAATGGACCCAGCTATCTATGGTCAACTGATGTTCAACAAATAAATAAAATCTATCAAACCAGAAAATGACAACCTCTTCAACAAATGGTGCTGGCAAAACTGGACTGCTACCTGCAGAAAGCTGAAACAGGATCTACATCTTACATCATACATAAAAACCAACTCAAGGTGGATCAGAGACCTGGGAATAAAGCCCAAAATCATAAAGGTCATCAGCGACAAACTGGGATCAAGCTCTGACTACCTAGTCTATGGTACAAACAGACTGCCAAATACTTCAAGAAATGCACAACCTGGAAGATAAAAATGAAGAATGGGATCTTTTAAAGATTAAGTTCCTGTGCATATAAAAAACTTTTTCTGTTAAGGAGAGGAGCGAACTGGGGGTGGGGGTGGGGGTGGGTGGGGGGGGAGAAAAGTGCAACAATGAATGAATGGAATTCCAAAATCTCTGTAGATGTTCATTGACATTAATAATAATAATAAATTTAAAAAAATTTTTTAAACCAAACAAAAAAAAAACCAACAACAGCTGTGTACAAGGCAGTGTAGAAGACACATGGACTACAAATAAATATGAAACAGTCACTCTTTGAAAAGAAAATGAGCCCCAAAATAGATCCTGATATTTTTCAACATTTGTGCTGACACTGAGAGGTTTCAGAATGAATTTTGATGAAAACTATTATGCAAATAAATTCAATTATGAAAAATTAAAAAAAAAAAACCCCAACAACTTTTTCTGACAGAGTGAAAAGAAAACCTACTGACTGGGAAAAAAATATTTGGCAGTCCTATTTCGACAAGGGTCTCATATCAAAAGTTTACAGAATCCTGCAGGGCCTCCACAAGAAAAAGACTGATAACATAATGACAAAATGGCTGAAAGACATGGAAAGACTTTTTACAGAGTAAGATATTTGGATGGGCAACAAACACATGAAGAATTGCTCAAAATCATCAGCAATAAGAGAGGTGCAAATGAAAACCACAATGAGATACCGTCTCACTCCAGTAGCAGTGGCAAAGCTTAACAGGACAGCAAATAATAAATGTTGGAAAGAATGTAGAGTTAGGAACCTTTATACATTGTTGGTGGTACAATCACTCTAGAAGGCAGTTTGGCATTTCCTCTAAAAAAAATTCAACATAGAAATTCTATATGACCTAGCTACTCCAGTGCTTGGAATATACCCTGAGAAAATGAGAACTGAGGTGCAAACGGAGACTTGTATACCAATGTTCATAGCAGCGTTATTCACCATCACAAGAAAATGGAAACAGCCCAAATGTTCAACCACAATCGAATGGACTGAGAAATTATGGTATATTCACACTATGGAATACTATGCAGCAGGCAGGAGCAATGATTTTGTAAATTATTACCTAACTTGGGAGGGACTTGGAGAGCATTATGCCAACTGAACTAACTCAGTCCCATATGGACAAATATTGTATAAGATCATTATTGTAGAAAGAGTATGAGGATCTGAAGATGGGGGGAGCAGAGGGCTGAGTATGGGGGTGGGGATTAGGTTGGAGTTGGTTAATCATAGTGTCGCACAATTTGATTGGTGGAGGAAGGGATGAGTAAAGGAATGGAAAAGACCCGGTGTAAAAACAATTTATACTGTTTGTATAACTATTTGTAAGTAAAGCAGTACAAAATAAAAATATCATTTAAACAAAAATCCACAACATAACAAAAAATAGTTGAACAGAGGGTTTTGATGGGCCATTCACTAAGACAAAATGTTCAAAAGCTTGGAATCAAAAAAAGTAAGGGGGAAGAACACTCTTAGAATTTCTCAAACTTAAGAAATTAAATTCTCTTGTAATGTTGAAGGATTCTGTGGGTAAAATACTAAAAGACACAAAAAGCATCAAAAGGAATTGGAAGAAACAAAGGCACCAAGCAATGGCTACAGTGCGCTTCTACTTTGTCACATGGCCTTGCTCTGAGTGGAAATCAATCCAGGGGCACCTAACAATATGTCTCATACTGAAACACCTACCCCTGGATATAGTAGTACTCTGGGCTGCTAACCTAAAGGTAGGCAGTTCTAGTCCACCAGAGCTCCTCAGCGAAAGCGCAGCAGTTTCCATCTATTAATATTTACAACATCCAAAACCAACAGAGAGCAGCTGTGAGTGAGAAACAGCTGAACAAGTAGTGGAATCTAACTCTGGGTTATTCAAACGTAAGCTGTTCGGCTCTCTCCTGCCTCGGTGCACACACAAAGAGATAAACAAGTAGTTTCCTAGGTGTCTGGAGCAGTGCCTAACCCTCTCTCGGCAGCCACGGGGCGGCCCCAGGGGGTGTCCCCTCGGAGTCCAGCCCGAGCCATTGGCTGCGGGTCGTGTTACCTGAGAAAGGAGGCGGGAGGAGGCGACTGGTGCCCGGCTGCGGGCCGCGGAAGGAGCGACATGGCCGGGACTGGACAGTGGGCCTCCCTGCTCCTGTGCCTGCTGCAGTCCGCCCCAGGACAAGGTAAAGGCGCGGTGGGGACAGCGGGGCGACTGGGGGACCCGGTGGCGCAAGTGGGGGTCCCGGGGAGGCCCGAGGGCGGGGCGGGGGCGCAGACGCAGGGGACCCGAGTTTTAAAGTCCTTCCTGGAGGAACCGAATCCAGCTTCCTCTTACAATTTGATGGGTAAGAGCCAGGGGTAGGTAAAAGGAAATGGGAAGGATCCGAAGTGAAAAACAATGTATACGAACTTTCTAAGTAAACCAGTATAAAAGAAAAATTTTATTTAAATTTAAAAAATAGAAGAGAAATAGACGTTTAAAAACCAATTCCTTCATTTATAAAGTGTTTTTAAAGGTTTCTTTTAAAGCCCTAAACTTGTAGAACAGAGTAGGGCTTACAGGCGGTAATTATTAAGAAAGGAGTCCCCCCACCCCCGCCCAGAGTGACTCATAGATATGAATTGCCAACCTTAAAGCCAAACTGCTTTAATCATTGTGCCACCAGGGCTCCTATTTTAAAGCCTTGTTGCTATGTGCTGTCAAGTCAGAACCAAGTCATAGCTGACGCTCTAGCTGGGTTTTAGAGACCATAAATGGCAAAGGGAGGAGATTACCCATCTTTCCTTTCCCCAGCGGAGTTACTGGTGGGTTCGAACTTTGTGCCTTTGCGTTGGCAGCATTCATCACCCTTTAGGCTACCCCTCTGCATAATACCTAGGCCAGTCGTCTCCGATGCTTCCTCAGTCTGGGACTGGCCAAAGCTGCTCCCAGGCCTCGGGTCAGGTCAAGGATGAAGCTCTGGCTTGCTCAGGCATTCCTGTGTCCCTAGCAAGCTGCCATCCTCTTACCCTCCCTCTTGAGTGCGGCTACCACTAGAAAATAGGTGTCCTTCAGGGTATTAAATACTCCTAAACTTACAATGATTGCTCCCAAAATTGTCCCAAGATATCTGCTTAATAATCCATTGCTGGGGAGCCATTCCAACTCATAGCAACCCTGTAGAAAAAGCACAGCTGTCCCTCAGGGCTCCCAAGGTTGTAATCTTTACAGAAGCACACTGCAACATTTTTCTCCCAATGAGCAGCACCAACCTATGAGTTAGCAGTTACTCACAGCTGTGCTACCAGGACTCCTTTTTGTGGTTTTAGACAATTGAAGAACTGGAAGGGCCCTGGTGCACAATCTAATAATAATGATAAACGATAGTATTTAGCTGATCTTCCAGTGGGTTTTCAGAGACAATAAATGACATGGGTGGAGACTGCCCATCCTTCTGCCATACTTAAACTTTCACTCAAAATTCATTGCTGTGCAGTTTCCAAGGCTATAAATTGACTCACAGCTGACCCTTCATCAGGTTTCCATGGCGATAAATAAACTCATAGCTGATCTTCAACAGGTCCGGTGCTGTAAATAACCTGAGAGAAGATTGCCCATCTTTCTTCAGAGCAGCCCCTCATAGATTTGAATCTGCCGAATCAGAGCCTTAGGTCAGCGGTACAACCCTCTGTGGAATATATTTAAGCCCTAAGAGATAAAAACTGTTCCCTCCCCTACTTTTCAGATGGAGAAATTAAGTCTCAGAGCAGTTGAGGGAGGCAACAAGGAGATGCCTAGAACAGAAAGGGGAGGTAAGACACACAGTACAGGAAAGATTAAGGCAAGGGCAGGCAGCTGACCATCCTGTGTCAGCAGGTGATGCCCAAACCCTCATGCATTCCTAACCTCATGGAGGACAGTGGACTTGTTGGGGGAAATGAGGTGGCCTGGAGGGTGCAAAATACTACCAACCTTATGATGCTTAGTCTCAAAATTGAGAAGGAAGGAATATCCTTTGAGTCCCTGTTTCATGGTCATATTCAATAGTTTTCCTATCTAGACCTGGCTGTGTTGGGCCTTGAGGGATTTTAATGGATATAACAGAGATTGTAGTGTCATAGTTAAGTTCCAAATGCAGCCAGGTCCAAATTCAAATCCTGGCTCCCACACAGACTGCATATGTAATCTCTGACAGTTAATTAATATCTGTCTCTGAGCCTCCATCTGTGAAATGGATATACATCACCTTCAGAGGCTGGCCTGTCCTGAGGATTGACTGAGATTTTGTGTATGACATGCCTAGCCAGTGCTTGGCACCCAGGAGGGTAGCAATTTTAACTACTCTTTTTCCTTTGTGACTAATCACAAATCTTGGGTTACACTGCCCTACAAATGGCAGGCCAGCAGTCTTTGGTCTCCTGCTGGTCATCTGCTCAGAAGCTAGGTTGCAGTGACAGCACCAGACAGGTGATCTAGATCCTTCTGGAGGCTCAAGAAGTGGTTGGAGCAGGGCCCTCTGTCCACAAGATCAAGGGATAGCAGCCCAAGCTGGGGAGCTGAGCTGAGGCCTCAGTAGAACTGTCCCATCCCTCTCTAACATCATTGCGCTACCTGTATTTCATCATAGGCCATATGACACTTCACACATTAGCACTGGACTCTCCACAGGGTCATGGGCTCCTGAAAGCCAAGAATCAGCTATATTCCTCTTTGAGAACCCATTGCCAACACAGGTCCTTACATAGTGACCAACTAAATGCATTGGTGTCAAGTCAGAATCGACTCATAGCTGACCCTCCAGCAGGTTTTCAGAGGCTATGAATTGAATGAGAGGAGACTGTATTTCTCCCTCGCTGTCACTGATGAATTCAAACCACCACTGGAGAGGTACCATCTTTGGTTTATCAGTACAGCTCCCTAGGGACTACACCACTCAAGCTCAATAGAACCATAAGCAGTAGATATTTATTGGAAGAATAAAACAGAACAATCCTCCTGAAACGTTAGAAGAGGAAGTGAGCTCACACTGTGGAACTGGATATGCCTGAATTTACTTCTATGATTTACTAGTTGAGAGGGCCTTGGTTAGCTCCCTATAACATCTAGTTAACTAATAACTACTACCTAGCGGTCTAAGGAACTCTGGCTGCATAATACATAACACGCCAAGCTGCTAATTGAAAGGGTTCAAATCCACCAGCTGCTTCATGGGAGAAAATAGACAATCTCCTCCGTAAAGATTCACAGTGTTGGAAGTCCAATGGAGGGTCAGTGTGAATCACCTTCAACTCGGCAGCACTGGATCCTAGAGCTGTGGGAAGGCTGAATAAGCAAACACAAATAAATAAGAGAAATGCCTGATAGTTAGGACACAGTACATATTTGCCACTGTTGATCTAGTGTGAAGAAGTGTTAAAGGAGATTGATTCCCTGGAGTTGTTACATTTGAATCAAAAGTTTAGAAAGTTAACTATAAAAGTTAAAGCCTGTGCTTTGAACCAATTCTTCCTGATTCAGTTAGGACCAGCAAAATGAAACCAAAACAGACTCAAATTTGTAAAAATGTGGAAAAACTGGAATGGTAACTGGAACAGGAAAACTTACAGATTGACACCCTGCTAGAAACTCAGTCTCCCTCTTAGAAAACAAAGGCCGCATGCACACTGCATAGAAGAGAATCTCTTGACTAGTACTATCTGAAACAAGGGTGCCCTGCTCAAAGATGGCAGCTGACCTCGCTGTTCTGAATGTGTGTTCCTCTCTACAGTCCGGACAAAAATCCATTCTCCCACACCAGGTTCTTGCAAGGGCTCACTCTGTCTCTTCTAAGTCTCCCACTCCAGGGCTCTGACCACAGTTTTTCCCATTGCAGCTATCATTCTGCTTCACCCAAATTTTTCAGAGTTTGAGTCTGTTTTGATTTTGCTTCATCAGCCATGACTGAAACATGTTCAAGAAGTAGACAGTGAGTGCCAGACAGGGAACCAAGACAACTGGGTTCAAAACAGCCTTGCAGAAGATTGGCTGCAGCCTAGGGCCTGCAGGATAGTAGTCAGTGAAATGACTGGGCCTTGATTTGGAGCATGGACTTTATTCTGAGGGCAAAGCATAAGACTGTGTAGAGGTGCAATCAGACACACATCTCAGAAGATAAAGGTTGGCAATGAGAGGTGCAAAGGAAGAGAGTGTGAGTTAGTGTAAGGTAAGGGAAAGTATCATTGAGTTAGTGTCATTCAAGTAGTAAAGATATGACACAAGCAAATGTGTGAACCCAGTAGACATCCAGCACACAGCAAACAGCATGTTTAGCAAACAGCATGTGCAAAGGCACTGAGGTGGGAGTATGTCTGGCTGCTCTGAAAACAACAAAGAGGCCAGAATGCTTGGAGAGGAGGAAGAAAGGGGTGAGTATCACCTTGAGGATTTTTTTTCCCCCTTGAGTGAGATGGAAGCAATTGGAGAGTGTTAAACACTTTCATCTTTAGCATAATCTGAGTTATCACAATATCCATGTACTCACCCAAGAACTATCCACTGGGCACCTATTTTGTACCAGGCACTTCTGTAGGTTCTGGGGACAAGACTGAGAACGTGACAGAACCCCCTTCTCCGTGAGTCCCTCAGAGCTGTCCTTGCTGCAGGCCAGCAGGGAGGCTAGTCTATCAGATGAACCATGTTCTGTGGTGTCCCACTAGAACCCTAAAACCCTGTAGATCCCTCCTGGTACAGACAGGAGGAGAAGGGACTGCTGAAACCTGCACAGGAAGTTCATGGTAGGACTGTGCCTGGAATTCTCACTTCTGGGTCCTCTCTCCACGCAATGTCCCCTCCCATTCAGCCACCCTGGACACTCATGGCTCTTCCCTGGGTGAGCACCTCACTGCCCACCATGCCATTGGTCAGCTGAGTGGCCCCTTCCGGAGGGCGCAGTTTCATATCCTCTTTCTGCCTCACAGGGAGATCCCGCCTGGCCCCTCCACAGAACGTGACGCTGTTCTCCCAGAACTTTGACGTGTACCTGATGTGGCTCCCAGGACCTGGCAACCCCCAGAATGTGACTTATTTGGTGGCCTATCAAAGGTAGAGGGAGTGCTGGGCAGGTGGGATGGGAATCTGGGGCGGGGCAGTCTGGCTTCTCTAAGATGGTGACGCTCATTGTGGGCACCGTTCACTGGTTCCGTGTGCTTCTGGGATAGGTGGCATGTTGCAGGTACGTAAGAGGGGCATGCTAGGTTCAGGTAAAGGTCTGGAAGTAGGAATGGTATTAAGACAGCAGTGCAAGGTGATAGGCCTGCCAGGGAGGAAGTGAATCTCAGAGCAACATTGGGGTAGGGCTGAGAGCCAACTGATGGGATTTGAAAAATAAAAAAAATGTTTTGTTGTTGAGATATGCACAGCAAAATAGTCATTAGCTCAACAGTTTTCACATGGACCATTTAGTGAGTGACATGGATTACATTCTTTAAGTGGTATAACCATTCTTACCGTGCCCCTTGAAGGATGGTGAAACTCTGTCTCACGTACTTTGGGCATGTGGCTACAAGAGGCCAGTCCTTGGAGAAAGACATCATGCTTGGAAAGGTGACGGGTCAGTAAAAGAGAGGATGACCCTCTACGATATGGACTGACAGAGTTGCTGGGGCAGTGGACTCGAGTATAGCAGGGGTGGTAAGAATGACCCAGGACAGGAAAGGGTTCAGGTCTGCTGTTCATAAGTTCACTGTGAGTCCTGGTCGACTCAATGGCACCTAACAACAACAACAACCATAACTCTCTTTGAGTCGTTCCTCCCCTATTAACATGCACTTACTGCCTCCTAAGGTTATCACTCTGGGAAAGGTAGCAGGTCAGTGAAAGAGGAAAACTCTCAAGATGGATTGACACCGTGACTGCAACAGCAGACTGAGGAACAGAGATCACGACCATGGCGCAGGATAGGTCAGCATTCCAACACGTTCATACGCTTGTGATGAGTCATAATTTGTTTTTTGGGTTTTTTTTTGCAATGAGTCATAATTAACTCAATGGCACTTAACAACAACCTAACAAAGTTCCCATCTAATCTTTAAAGTTACTGTTGTCAATTTAATCCATTTAGATGATTCTTAAAAGAGCATAAAGCTCAAGGCAGACCTTTTTACTGGTCAAATGAAACAATTTGGTTTTAAAAAGGCTTTAGGGAATGGTTTTGGTTTAAGGCTCACAGGTTTTAAAGGGCAGTGCTTTCAGTAATTCATATAGTCTCAATGGTTCCATGTCTGCAGTAAATGAGAATATGAAATTCTGTTCTGAATGTTCTCTGTTTTGATCAAAATTCTTCTCTGGAACCTTGGGTCAAAATATTCAGTAATTGTAGCTGAGCACCATCCAGTTCTGGTCTCATGTCAAAGGAATACCCTTCTCCTCCTCCTATCTCTCCTTCTTCCTTTGTTCCCAGCAAATAAAGACCTTGAATTTTTGTGCCTTGAATGTTGTTGTTGTTGTTGTTGTTGTTGTTATGTGCCATCGAGTCGTTTGCGACTCAGAGCGACCCTATGCACAACAGCCCTAAACCCTGCTCTATCCTGCACCAACCACACTGCCTCTGACACACCCATCCCGATTACCCCAGTCACCGAATCAATCCATCTCATAGAGGGTCTTCCCCTCCTGCGCTATCCCTCCACCCTCCCAAGCATGATGTCCCTCTCCAAGGACCCATCCCTCCTGGCAACATGTCCAAAGTATGTCAGACGAAGCCCCAGAATCCTTGCCTCCAAGGAGCAGCTTGGTTTAATCCTCTCCAAGATGAATCTGTTTGTTTTCCTGGCAGTCCATGGTACATTCAATACTCTTCTCCAGCACCACAGCTCAAAGGTATCAACTCTCCTTCTATCCTCCCTAGTCATTGTCCAACTCTCTGATGCATAACAAGTGATTGCAAAGACCATGGCCTGTATGAGGCGCACCTTAGTCTCCAGAGAGACACCGTTGCTCTTGAGTACTTTAGAGAGGTCCCTAACAGCAGACTTTCCCATCGCGATACACTTTTTGATTTCCTGACTTGAATAGCCACTTGGAATTTTTATTTTTGTCTTTCTTTTTTTAAATTTTTAAAAATTCATTTTAATGAAAGTTTATAGACTTTGGATTTTCATTCATTCATTGTAGCACTTTTCTCCCTGCCCAACCTCCCCCAAGTTTGCTCTGCTCTTTGAAAACTAAAAGAAAAATTCTTATACAATCCCTTACCCCAAGTCCATTCCATTATGCAGCCTTCATTCTGGGCTCCTGTCATGACAATAATACCTAATCATATATCCCTTTTAAACAGTTTTCTCCTTCATCAGTTTCAGTGCTGTATACATTATTGAACCCACCTTTCTCAGTCTCTCCCCAACCCCAAGGTCAGTCCTGGTTTACAACAGTGGCACCATGCAGTATTTGTCCTTTTGTGACTGGGATACTTCACTCAGCATAATGTCCTTCAGAGTCACCCATTTTGAATAATATTGCATGAGTTCCTTGTTTTTCAATGCAGCATAGTATTTCATTGTGTGAATATACCACAGCTTCTCTATTCATTCGTTTGTTGATGGGCACTTAGGTTGTTTCCAACTCCTTGCTATTATAAACAAAGCCACGATAAACATGGGTGTGCATATATCTGCTTGGATGTCAGTTATGGTCTCTTTGGGGTATATTCCCAGTAGTGGAATTGCTGGGTCAAATGGTATCTCTATTTGCAACTTTTTGAGAAAGCTCCATGCTGCCTTCCAGAGTGGTTGCACCATTTTACACTCCCACCAACAGTGAATAAGGGTTCCAGTTTCTCCACAACCTCGCCAGCATTTGTTGCTTGCTGTTCTGTTAAATTTTGCTATTTTTACCAGGGTAAGATGATATCTCATAGTTGTTTTGATCTGCATCTCTCTTAGGGCTAGGGATTTTGAACATTTCTTCATGTGTTTGTTTGCCATCTTAATGTCTTCTTTGGTGAAGTGTCTGTTTATATCCTGTGTATCTGCCATGTATTAAATTAGGAGGTAGAACAGAAACACTACACATACTATTAGGCAAGTTACCTGGGCTATCTCATGAAACCTTGGCCCAGGAACCATGACCTTCAAACCAAAGAACCAGATCCCAGGAAGTGTTTGGTGTATAGAAACAAATGCAGCAGCTCCTTTTTGTCATTTTTCTTGGTCCTTGTAAATATATCACACAACTTTTGCCAGTTTAACTTTTTACAGGTGTATCATTTTTTTACAGCAATTATAGTTATCAGCTGTGCAACGCCGCCCTTAGTCACGTGGTGTTCCCAGCCAGGTGATGGAACTTAGGTGCGTCTGGATACGGTGCTTAGAGTTATCCCTACATATTAAAACCTAAGGGCAAACCTGTTGCCATCAAGTCGACTCCAACTTGTGGTGACCTTGTGTGGTGCAAAGTTGTCTGGCTTCACAAAATTTCTTTGCCAATGGCAATGAATTTGGGTTTGTTTTTTCTTTTGTTTTTGTTAGTGTTGTGTTTTGTTTTTTCAGAAACTTTCCTTAAAGCTTCTGGGTGGATTAAATCTACTAAGCTTTAGACTAACAGAATAATTTTCTGTAAGCCAGGAACAAAGGAGTTGTACAGTTCCCTGCAGGGACACGTGATTCCATATCCTCCTTCTCCTGCTTGCCCCAAAGGGGGCAAAACTGTGGCAAGTAGTACTCTATGATCATGGAACTTTTTCCCACTAAGCTTGGATGTTGTTGTTATGTGCCACTGAGTCACCTGTAACTCATAGCAACCCTGTGTACAACAGCTCTGAACCTTGTTCTATCCTTAGCCAACTTTATTGTCTCTAACACACCTATACTCATTACCTGAGTCACTGAATCAATCCATCTCATCCAGGGTCTTCCTCTCTTGCGCTGTCCCTCCACCTTCCCAAGCTTGATGTCCTTATCCAAGGACTGGTCCCTCCTTGCAACATGTCCAGAATATACCAGAGCTTCAGAATCCTTGCCTCCAAGGTTGCAGCCTGGTTTCACCGTAGCCTGGACAAACCTGTTTGTTCTCCCAGAAGTTTATGGTATTTTTAAATATTCTTCTCCAGCACCACAGCTCAAAGGCATCAATTCTCCTTCTATCATCCCCAGTCATTATCCAGTTCTCCGATGCATAGCATGTAATTGTGAAGACCATCACCTGGACCAGGCATATAGTAGTCTCCAGACTGACATCGTTGCTCTTCAATACTCTGGAGATGTCCCTGTCAGCAGACTTTCCCAATGCAATTTGTCTTTTGATTTCCTGACTGCTGGTACCAAGAGTGTTGATAATGGAGCCAACAAACTAGAGCTCTTGACAGTCTCAATCTCTTTACCATCTATCATGATGCTGCCAATTGGCCCAGTGGTGAGAATCTTTGTTTTCTTGTTGTTGAGCTTCAATCCATATTAAAAGCTGCAGTCCTTGACCTTCTGTAGCAAATGCTTCAGGTTCTACTCCGTTTCAGCAATCAAGGTTGTGTCACAGGTTATTGATGAGTTTTCCTCCAATCCTGATGATTCCTCCTCATAGAGTCCAGCCTCCTAGATGATCTGTTCTGCCTATAGATTGAAAAGGTATGGAGATAGGACACATCCCTGGCATACACCCTTTCCAATTTTGAAGCATGCAGTGTTTCCTTGCTTTGTTTTGATGACCCCCTGCTGGTCCAACTATAGGTTTCACATAAGCACAATCAAGTGTTCTGGGATTCCTATAGAGTAAGGCACAGCTTATTGTGATCCACAGAGTCAAATGCCTTTGCATCATCAATGAAACACAGATAGACATTCCTCTGGTGCCCTCTGCTTTCAGCCAATATCCATCTGACATTAGCTACAATATCCCTAGTACCAGGACCCCTTCTAAACCCAGCCTGCGGATCTGGCAGTTCTCTGTTGATGTGCTGTTTCAATTGTTTTTGGATAATCTTCAGCAGAATCTTGCTTGCATGGGATACCAGTGATACTGTTGGATAATTTCCTCACTCTGTCAGATCACCTTTCTTTGGCATGGGAACAAATATAAATCTCTTCCATTCAGTTTTCCGGGTAGTTGTCCTC